AAAATTTGTATGGTTTGATTATTTTTCCATTTTTAATTTGATTGTTCAAATTTTACAAGACACCATCAACAAAATAAAAAGATGAGCTTTTTGTTCTCAACAATATTTTAGCAAACTAGAAAGCAGTAACAGGATAATCAAAATTTCTGTCTTTTATTTTTTTAAATTATAATTTAATAAAACTATAGCCACAAATTTTATTAAAATAATAAAACTATAATTTAAAAATAATTTAACTTTTCCAAAGTAAAAAAAAATGATCCTATTCAAAACTCAAACATGTTCTAAGTTTAACAGACTTAAAACAGGATAAAAGAGCTACTGAGAACAGCTGATTAAAAACCACAGTATATGATTTTTTATTGTTTTTAATCAATAAATAAACCTGCAAAGGGAGAAGAAAAAATACTTCTTTCAACCCTAGAAAATATACTGATATCAAATAATAACTTCCTGCACATTCCCAGAAAATTTATGTAAAATGTAATTTTAAATTTTTAAAATATGCAGATCATATGTCCAACTGGAAGGATCTTCATTGAGAAGAAAAATGCCTTTGCAAAACCTTGACATTATCCAAGATTTATTTTGCTACTTCACAAGTAATATTCACAATTTGGCATATAAAATGTGACCATAAAGAAAGAAAAGCACATACCACTATATCTCAAAGTCAAAATCTATTATTTTGTAATAACAGAGACAAGTTAAAACTTTAATTTCATACAGTGGTTTGTTTTTGTTTAATGTTTTCATACAAAATGTTGCTGCCAACTGATTCCAAGGTTACATTATTAGACTTTTTACTAAATGATTTATAACGTTCACTTAATATTTTGATGAGAACTGTAATTTAACTATCAAGAACCTTAGAACTATCAAGTAAACTTATATGAATAAAGCAGTCATATTATACTGGGTGCGATGGTTAAATTGTCGCCATTTTATATTTTTAGTTTTGTGCATGTGCATTGTTTTTATTTTTTTTATTTTGTCAACTGCATAATATGGTAGAGTTAGTTGGGTACCGTATCTGAGAAAAAGAGCACCATGACACAATTCACTCTGCTAGAAATCTGGAAATGGTATGCTGTACTGCTTGGCATTTGCACCAGAGACTCCAATACAAATATCCAACTCCTTTGATTATTATGTGTGGGGCGCAGTTGAGCGAGAGACCAACAAAACTCTGTGTAGTACCAAAGATGAACTGAAGGCAAGGATTATGGCAGCATTCACCAACAAGGAGACCATCTAGAAGAGATGCAAGAGATTTCAAAGTTGTCTGGAGGCTGTGGTTGAAGCCAATGGTGATTTTATTGAATGAATTTACTCTTTAGTATTTCAAGATATTTTTGTGTAATTTTGGTAACCATATCTGTTAAAATGAGATGTCAGTATTATTTTCATTTTTGTGTAATTTAGATGACAATTTATCCATCGCACTCTGTATATATACACACACACATATATATTTTACACTTTCAGAAGTTCATGACACTGAAATCTTTTTCTTTCCAATGAATATAGCTTTAACTTGAAACATTCATGATTCAAAAGCATTTTTTAAAGTATGATATACTCTTTCTAAAATCTCTATCATAGACACAATTTTTGCTTACAACAGCTTGTTTCCAAACAAGAAAACTTAAAATCCAAAAGAGGAATAAGTTAAATCAATTACAAGCATAATATACTACTAAAACAAAATTGAATTCAAAGTTTTGAACTTCATAAACAGAAGTATCAAAATCAATAAAGCAACAATAATTTTATCATTAAACATGAGAAAAAATTCAAGAGTTCAAGAAAAGACAGTTTTACATTTATGTCTGTTGTTGCTATTTTTTTTTACTTTCCTTTTGCATTTGCACACTTGAAGACATTAAAAACAAAGCTGTAAATCTGAAAAAAAAAAGCTATTCTCTATTTTCTATTTTACAGATATACAAGTTTCTCACTTTGACTCAAAGTTTACAAAAAAAATTCAGTGCCTCTGATTAAAAGTCTGGAAATACTTTGCTTTTTGTTATGTTCATGTGAAGTAAACAAAAGGCAGGCATCGGTTGCTACCTTTGTTTATTTAAATTTGTCTTTTTCAAGTGTAGCCCTTCTACATGTGTCAGAGTTTAAGCTATGTTTTTTTTGCCTTCGTATCCTTCTTTTCTGATATTAACATTTGTATAGCAAGCCTGTATGCCCAATACAAAATATTTTCTTCACTATATTATGGCATTTGCATCTCAAATATTTTTGCACAAAATACTTACTGTAAGACTTCCACATTTATAAAAGTTTCTCTTGCATCTGCTTATACAAGTAGATGCTGAAAAGTTCTCAAGATGTGGGTAAAAAATTCTATTTGGTCAAATATCACAGCCTCATCCTCTTTGGATGAGGCTGTGATATTTTCAGCACTCCCCTCATATGCATATAATTTCATATTCCCTTTGAAAGCATGTCTTGTTATGTGAATTATGAGCCTAATTTATTCATATGTCATTGAAAATGTTACAATTGCATTTCACTTGCATGCAAATTGAGTTGTGCCAATTCTGTCTTTTCTGTTATTAAATGTTCATCTTTGTTTTTCCTTTTCCTTATTTCTTTGATCCACTGAATCTGATGAGGAAAAAACAAAGGACTTACTTTTTTGTACTCAAAACATTTAATGGCAGCCTTTGAACTTCTAATTAGTGAACCTTCAATTACATATTCATAGAAATATAAACATTCTACTCTTTACATTCATCTGCTAAGTTCTCTTGATTAGACATTAGCAAGTTCAATAGACAAGAGAACTGATGTATTTCCCTTTTTTACCTCATTACACCAATTCAAGTTCTCCTGTATTTCTGTATCATGTTTAACTTTCAATTACTTCAAATTATGTGACAGAAACTCATATAAAAACTTGAGAAGGTTCCCTTCCTCTAGATTAATGCCCATTATAGAATGCATAACTGTCCTATTCAATAAGCAATATGGTTATAATCTTGGCCAGAACCAGGGATAGTATAGATTTGGGGCCATCATTAAATAATGTTGCATGATCAAATTAGAAAATGCAAACATTGATAAATCAATTATGATTTTTTTCTTTTACTAAAAGAACATCTGACACTGCAGCTAATAACGAGCTCAATTTCATGAGTTCTTTTTGTTGCAGCATACCTACAGACAATAATGGGTATGTCCCCATTCATATAAATACAGTAGTAAATACTGTATATTGGTCTGCAGTTGGAGATTCATTGTGGAATTTACTTGACTCACTTCTAGCAGTTGACTACTACTTCTACGCACCACTGGCGAATCTTATATGTGTTGTTCTTGTCCTAAGTATTATTGTTTATTACAAACCTTTGTGAGATTATTCTATTACTTCAGTAACCTTTCCTAGTCTACAACACTTTTACACAGAACAAATTAAAGATGAAGAATTTTAATGAGAATATTGAATACTCAATGTTTAAAAAAGCACTGATAATGGTTATAGGTGTAATAATGATTTCTGCATTATCTTCAGATTCTAAATGATAAATAAGTTAATTTTTACAACCACTTAAGTTTTTACAAACACTTAAGTTAGCACTCATGACAACTTACCACTCTCTAAATGAGATTACTGGGGGTTTGAAATGCATTAAATTAATCCAAAATATCCTCAAAACATCTTTTTGAATATATTAATGTTGATCTGATATACAAACCCAGATTGAATTTCATGTATTACAACATACCCATTTGTAAATTTCTAAAATGTGGTAATCAGGAAGGAGAAAGATTAATAACAAGAATATACACAACTATTTGACAGAGCAAAAGAGAACAAGAAAAAACAACAATCAGCAGTTCAACAATTTTTGATCACAGATCAACCCATAGAACTATTTATTTTACACTTCAGTCTCTTTTCAAATATTCTATGGCCAAAAAAGATTAAATCAACTCAAACATTCCCATTTGGCAAATATCAGAAATAAAGAATTAACACTGACTATCATCATAGATAACAGTGCCCAAATTCAGCAAAGAAATAAGGAGATATTTCAAAATATTAAGCCAGTCAAAAACTGATAATAGGCTTCCTATTCATTAGTTATTTACAAGTATAAACAAAAGGGCTCAATATATAATTAATATTATGAATAGAATTCAACATTTTATAACCAAACAAAGTAAAAAGATAAAAGATCAGGCAAAAAGATTTTTTTTATTAAAGAAAAGAAGGCTTTAATGATTATTTGTAAAATAAAAACTAATTATAGATTCTTATCCAGAAAATGTGGAATGAAGAATTAATGACTTTATGAAATATCATCCTGCAAAGTAACAAGCTCGTTCGACATGAAATCTAACATCTCTGGATTAGAAAAGCTTTTAAATTCAGAATGGATTTAATTTCATTTTACAGGAGAGGATGTTTAATGTTAAAAGTTCAATACATTGAGAAATATTGAATGCATATGTTAAAATTGATTATAGTTTTAACAGCAGCACATTTCTACCAAACAGTTAAACTATTTCCATTCCCACAAAAAATTGAAAATATAAATGTTAAATACTGTAAAATCACCTATCAATTTATTGAGTTTAATAAAATTTTCAGCAATTACTTAATAAAAAATGCTATTCCCATTTTTATTTCTTCCTCTTAACTTTTAAAAAATTCTCTCAATATTTTTTAAGCCAGATTTATGGCTTTATTTTTTTTTAGCTTAACAGAAATAACACTGAAAGATTAAAAACAAAACACTCAAAAATTCCAGATATTCCTCTACAATTTTAATGTTAAAACTGAACAATAGTTTGTAATGCATGTTAATGGGAAAAAAATTCTTATTCAAGTGTTAACATTTCTGAAAGAATCAATGAGAAAATATGGTAAACAAATAGGAAAAGAGTGACTGAGTTCCCAAGAATAAAAGTATCCCCCCTCCATCCAGTTTTATTAAATTTTTGTACAGGAAGAAAAACAAATTTTTTTTTTTACTCACATCTCTTCTGAGGGAGAAGGTGTTTTCGAACTTGATTGTATAATGCTGTGTGAGGTGGAAAGAAATAAATGAAGCATAAATTGTCAGAAAGAAAATAGACATGCAATGCTACAAAGACTTGCTAAAGGATGAGTGAACTGTAGAAGCAAATATGCATAGCAAAAAGAAGTGCAATAGCAATAGAGTTATTTGTTCAAGTGAGGAAGCAAACATTACACTTATAAAGCTGATGGAATCACTGACTGTCCAGGAAAAAATCTTTATAAAAAGGACTGGAATTTGTCATTTAATCAGTGTACATTTTAAATTTGAATTCACAATTCCTAAGTTATAATCTTTTTCAAGTAATAGTATAAAACTCAACCAGTATACAATGAAATAGTAAATTATATTCAAATCCTACCATGTTATATACTATTATCTTATGAAAGTGCAAATGTCAAATTTACGATTATATATACATTGGCTAAATTACACTTCAAAAGGAACAGATTATTAACACAAGATTTATGTACAGCAAGTCCCTTGCCAATGCTAAAAGTAATTTGAAAATAAAATTTCTCAAAAAATAATACAAAAAAATAAAGTTGGAAAATAGGAGAAAAATAATTCTTTATAGTTAACATGCTTTTAAATAGTTAAATTGCTTTATTTTGGTAATCAATTATTGGAAAATTAATAAAAAATATGTAAAACTAAATATCAAATTTAATTATGTCCTAAGGTAAAATTACTATTTTCAAAGGATGAAAATCTGAGTTATTTTCAAAGAAAACTCAAGCCATTAGTTTCACTACTGATTTACACTTTGCAAAACAATGAAGGCAATAAATCTCTTCAACTTCTGTTAGCTTGACATACAATAAAGCTTAAGTATTTCTGCCATGCCAGAACAAGATTAGACTAAAAATAGAATATTGCTGTGATATCTGGGCTGGAGTAGATCAATCTTTATTTTCCAACTTTGATAGAATTCAAAACTGTTTAAACAGTCTTGTGGGGGGAGGATTATTTTCCTATCCTACAACCTCTTTCCTACAGATGCAACATTACAAGACTTTTGCTACTATCATCATTTCTATGGTAAATGTTCAGATGAGATCCATTTTCTCATTCAACCAGGTCACACCTTTACTTCTAGGACAAGTCATGCTAATTTCACAGAGTTAAATCACTCCTACTCCTTCTGTGTTCCAAATGTAAGAAGCAAAGTCAACTTAGATATCTTTTCTCCAAGAACTGTCACTTTGTAGAACATGCTCTTGCATTCTTCAAGGGTTAATTGTTGTCTATCCTTCTTATCCTCATAATCTTCACGTTCTATCACCTTCTCTTCATTCAAATATCACCCCCTCATTCATCATTATCATTCCAACTGTAACCCTCTTATAAAAAAGACAATTAGAGATGGAATCCCAAAACACTAAGTAATTACTGTACTACTGATCTATAAAAACAAATGTCATTGAAGGTTGATTTACAGTTAGCATTTTATAAGACACATTAACAAACTTTACTGCTTTCCTTGATCTAAATCTATTCAAATGTTAAAATATATAATCTTACCATGATGCCAGTATGTGTATATTTCTACACAATTGATGAGTCACATCTATAAAATCTGATTAGCTGGTTACTGGCATGGATCTCTTTGTTCATAAGAGTAGTAAATCTACTGTAGTACTACAATAATCAATCCTATGTACATACAATATAGTCATAAAGCCATTCTTCTAGTTTTAAAAGATTTGAAACCATTATTTCATAAATTACATTTAAATTATAAAATTTCTGTAACAAATTTAGGAGGAATAGTAATCTACCAACAATTGAAGATTATGACATTATCTCAACCTCATATCTGACTGAAATAATTATTTCTCCATTTCTTTACAGAATTATTCATACAGTTTATAAACAAGTAAGATAACAAGTATGTAACATTATAAGAATATTATAAATTGCTTAAATACATTTTACATGAAAGCTGAGAAATTGTTTAAAGAATATGAATTTTTCAAAGATTCTGCATTTTCCAAAATTTCTAATGTAGGAACATATACTGTTTTTCTCCTTTTGAGTTAGGCAATCAATGTGAATCAATTTATCACACTAAACATAAATTGAAATATTAGGTTAATAAATTGACAAATAACTGTTTCAACAAATTTACTTCAAATAGAATGTTTGAAACCTTCCAACTAATTTACATGTAAATTGTGAGTGGGGTAGATAAAAATATAGCACACTTACTATTTGCAGTAATTATTGATAAGGTTATTCCCAAGCATGCTAATTTATATTTAGCAAGTACTTTTAGTAATTCCCTGAATAAGAATTGATTTTTAAAAGAGTAAAGAAAAACATTAGTCTGCATAATAATATAAGCCACTTTCTCAAAATCCATCTTCCAAATTCATTTGCAAATATTTAAACTAATTTGGGCTTGTAATACTAGAATATTGACTAATGTTATTTTTTAGTTTCATTCTATGTTCAAACAAACAAAATAAGAAGACTTGAAAAGGGTCAAGCAGGGATGCCCTATTCAAGAGCTTGTTCTACAAAGTGACAGTTCTTGGAGAAAAGCTATCTAAGTTGACTTTGCTTCTTACATTCTGGTAAAATGAAATTGTTTACAGTGTAGGTAGATATAAAGCTTTCAGTTTTTATTGGATTAACTGAATATATTGACAGACTTCCTAAAATTTCCTAAAAGATCCTTCTGACACAATTTCTTTCCAATTCAATTTTACTGGGTTAGAGTCAATATTGAAAGGAACATTGTTACCGATTCAAATGTTTTAGAAAAGGAGAGTGTGAATTAATACTGTTTCTGATATGAAACAACAAAACCACAACAAGAGCAAGCAATACTTTGGTTTGGCTCTTCTCTGATGAAAAAGAACAAGGTTTTTGCAGCAAGTAGCATCTTCCTTTAAAAAACACAAAAAAAAAACAACTAATCTACAATGAGTAACTTTTTCATAAGACAGAGCCTTATAACCCATTTGATTAAGTATTGATTGAATTAATAATAAACAAAATGATTGACATAACTTTTCCAATATTTTGAAACACTTAGAGAAACATGTTGTTTAAGAAAAGAAAAGACAATGCTTAATGATATTTTGATAATATGCCTGTCTTCAAGCTGTGTTTAAATTGTGTTTAATTGCATACAGATATAAAAAATATAAAAAAAGTACAAGTTTATTTACTCCTGTCTTAATAGTAAATCTGATTGGTTCAATAATGCCAAATTGGCAGCTGATCTCAAAAAATGACCTACAATCTGTTAAATGAAGCAAAATTTTAATGCTTCCAAAATGAAACTTCTCTTTAATTGTCTGAGAGAACCCTTTTTGCCTTCTATCAGCATTGTTAAATGATAAACTCCAGGAGAGTGAGCCATTCTCAGGCTGTTTTCCACTGACATGAAGTGGAAAAATTACATTGAATCAATTACTAGGTCTGCTGCTAGAAAAGTTGGTTCACTGTGTCATATGGAAAATTTGATGGTTCAGGTGGGAGGAGTAAGGTACTTACCCGGGTTGTTGCTCTGGACATTAAAAGTTGTTACCATCTTTTTACCAATTTTTTATACAAAGTCTGTGACTTGCTATCATGTGATCACTGAAGTGATCAGATAAAGGAAATATTCTTTCATCATTTATTTTTTTTTTTTTTTGCTTTTGTTACAAAGCAAGTTATCTGACAGAGAAACTACATCACAGAAGTGGATATTTTTTCACAACTTAAGGTAAGTACCTTTTCTCATTTCCCTGACTTGCACCATTATGGACTTTTTTTGTCTTGGGTTGAGATTTTCAACATTTTGCAAAAAACTATTATATTAATCTTGTATGTATCTGACATGGATAATAGCAGGGATGAATTACTGAGAAGGATTTCTCTTCTATAAACAATGATCAGGACACATCTGGATGTTACTAGTCAGGAGGATGAACTCTCTGCAAAGATTTTTTGGGCTCTTTAAAAAAATGTGTTAGAGTACCTAACGGAGATAGAGATCTGCGTTAACAAATTGCAACTGCCATCTTCTTCTGAGGAAGACTGGGTGGATATCGAGAAGGAATCCTTGAAGTATTTATTAAGGTTCTGGAGAGAACTTGAGAAACTGGAACTTAAATTCCTCCTTGCCGTAACTGATTCTTTGAAGTCATCATCTCCAGGCCCTCCAGAGATGGCTAGGAGCCCATCTTCATTTGTCGTCAAACCACCACAGATCCAGATTGATGGCCTTATGTTCACTGGCCTGGAAATGTATACTGACCGGATAAGTTTCCAAAATTTTTAATCTCATTTTGAGTATTGTGTATCAGGCATGTCCAACGATGCTGAGAGGCTAAACTTTTCAAAATGTTCACTCTCTGGAAAGGCCTTACTGCTGATCAACCATCTCTCGGTATCAGCAATAAGAATTATCGAATGGCCCTCGATATCCTGAAGGATGAATATCTGGATAAAGATGAAATTATCAACAACATTTTCCAAGATATATTGGACTTCTCTGTTAAATGAGAGAAGTTTTTTCTTTTTCATCTTTGACTAAGTTTATATCCAGGACAGCATCACTTCTGATGGAGTTGGTTCTTTCAACTGTACTTTCTCAAATGACCAGTCTTCTGGAGTTCGCCTCATTGCAAAAATCCTTTTCTCTATATTCACCAGAGAAGTTAAGGGCAAATTGATTTAGCTCGCATGTAAGAGAATTCCCCCATTGTCTTCCGTCTTGCCAAGGAGGCAATTAAACATCTCTTTATCAAAGTGGGTAATTCCTTGGATACTGCCCATAATCCTGAGCAGGGCTCCTTTAGAGATGCGGAATCACGGCCTTGATCCAACCCCAGATGGAGGGATTCTTCTTTCCGTTTTGATTCTGCATTCCGTACTTAGTTCAACTAATCTCCTGTCTGTCTTGTGTGTATCCTTTGGTAGAAATGGTGGAAGTGTCTCTGCTGTTTGTTGGACACTGGTAGTGGGTAGACCTATCTGTCCAGTGAAGTTTTGAAGCCCCTTGG